AGATAGATAGATAGATAGATAGATAGATAGATAGATAGATAGATAGAGGTAGAGAGATAGATAGATATAAACAGACAGACAGACATAGTGAGAGAGAAAGAGAAAGACAGAAAGATAACTGTAGATATAGAGATAGATAGGTAGACAGACAAATATAGAGATAGGTAGGTAGGTAGGTGTGTACATACCAATAGGTAGGTTGGTAGGTAGGTAGGTAGAAACACACACACAGAAAGACAGATAGAGATAGAAATAGAAATAGATAGAAGATAGATAGATATAGATAGATAATAGACATAGATAGATAGATAGATAGATAGATAGATAGATAGATGAAAGAGATAGAAAGAGATAGATAGATAGATAGATAGATAGATAGATAGATAGATAGATAGATAGATGAAAGAGATAAATGATAGTTAAAGAGAAAGATAGATAGGGAGAGAGGATGGATGGTTGAATAGAAAAATGTTATAGATATTAATATAGATATAGATACACAATTATAATATAAATGCATAAATATCACATTTTTTACTGGGCTTGTCCGGACGTTCCATTTCTTTTTGGCGTATCTCTGGGCTGTTTATTGCAAAAGCCACGTAATATGACGTTGTATCCGTCAGTATCTCAAACACGTTTCTTCCATTAGAAAGAGCGAGAACATCAAGTAGCTAGGTAGCCTTTATGGTTGCATACCTGGGCTTAAGGATGCGGGGACAATGTTTGTAGAAAACTCAGAAGACAGGAGGTTTCTTTTATGCTTTCTTCAAAACCCATGTGGATGTTTTACTTTAGCTCCCAGCATTTAATTTCATGTTCTCTAGGGTTGTTTTTTGGGGGGTGCCTCAGAAGGTGTGTTTGTTTTCCTCTTTTATTAATTTATTTGGATGATGGTGATGGTGACCATCAAAGAAAACATCTTCCAATCTCAGGCCTTTGGGAAGTACTCGATAGTTCAATTAAAATGGCAATCCAGTCTAAACTTCTGGCCAACTGTGCAACTTAATCATAATAAGGCTAATGACTTTCTGAGTGTGCTTTTTAAGATACAAACAAGTTGACTTTCCCCAATAATGATTACTCTTGTAAGTATTCAAATGCAACATATTTATTCAGTTATATGACCTCCCCTATCTCGCTTTGCGTGATTCTGGGCAGAGTACAAGAATTAAAACAGTATCAGCAACGATGAACACAATGCAATGCAAACAAATAAGTAGAAAAGAAGATTGCAGGAGATTTGAGTAGGAAATGCCAAACGCTGATAGATCCTTCCATCCGTCAGCCAACCAACCATCAACAGGAATGGGAAGGTCTTGTACAGTCATGTCAGCCATGATGGTTCAATCCAGATTCGAGCCCAGGTGTGAGCAACTATGGCAACTTCTGTGGATTTCAACTCCCAGAATTCCCACCTTTGGCCTAGAATTGCCTACCCTTGCTCTAGTCTAGGCCATATGCTTTTATATGGCTCCTTATGTAAAGGATACTTATATATCCTTCTTTTGAAGAACTTTAATGCTGGCTGGGGAATTCTGGGAGTGTTGAAGTCCACCCGTCTTAAAGCCTGCTGAATGCGGAATTCTGGGAGTTGAAGTCCCACCCATCTCAAGGCCTGCTGGCTGGGGAATTCTGGGAGTTGAAGTCCCACCCATCTCAAAGCATGCTGGCTGAGGAATTCTGGGAGTTGAAGTCCCACCCATCTTAAAGCATGCTGGCTGGGGAATTCTGGGAGTTGAAGTCCCACCCATCTCAAAGCATGCTGGCTGGGGAATTCTGGGAGTTGAAGTCCCACCCATCTTAAAGCATGCTGGCTGGGGAATTCTGGGAGTTGAAGTCCCACCCATCTCAAAGCATGCTGGCTAGGGAATTCTGGGAGTTGAAGTCCCACCCATCTCAAAGCATGCTGGCTGGGGAATTCTGGGAGTTGAAGTCCCACCCATCTCAAAGCCTGCTGAATGGGGAATTCTGGGAGTGGGAGTCTATCCAACTTAAAGCATGCTGGCTGGGGATTCTGGGAGTTGAAATCCACCCATGCATTGGTATTAAATATCTGCCTGACTTTTATTTCCTTTTTTACAATGACAGCTGAGTGTTACATTTTAGAAATTAACGCAGTCCTAGGCTGCATTATCAGAGGGATAGAATCAAGATCGCGTGAAGTGTTAATATCGCTTTATAATGCCTTGGTTAAGGCCACATTTGGAATCCTGCATCCAATTTTGGTCACCACGCTATAAAAAAGATGTTGAGACTCTAGAAAGAGTGCAGAGAAGAGCAACAAAAGAGGATTCAGGAGTTTGGAGGCTAAAAACACACGAAGAGCGGTTGAAGGAATTGGGTAGGTCTACTTTAATGAAAAGAACTGGGACAGCCATGGTGAACCTTGTGGGCCCCGAGTGCCCAAAGCGCGCACACATGCGTGCATACCCAAAATGCAAGACACATCCCTCCAGCATGTGTGCGTCACCCTCCTCCTCGTGCACACATGCCCCCCCACGCATGCACCTCACCCCCATTGCATGCACGGCAGAGACCCGTGGGAGGCATGTGCGCATGTGTGGTGGTGGAGCTGAGCTGGAGCGACGGCATGCATGCCCACAGAGAGGGCTCTGTGTGCCATCTGTGGCTCGCATGGCATAGGTTCGCCACCACGGGACTCGGGGTTACGTGATAGCAGTATTCCAGTATTTGAGGGACAGCCCCAAAGAAGGGGGTGAGTCAGCCTACACTCCAAAGGATCTGAAAGCAGGACAAGAAGCAACGGGTGGAAGGCCATCAAGAAGAGAAGCAACCTGGAACTAAGGAATAATTTCCTGAAAGTGAGAGGAATTAACCAGTGGAACAACTTGCCTTCCAGAAGTTGTAAATGCTCCAACACCGGACGTTTTTAAAAAAGAGGTTGGATAACCATTTGTCTGAAACGGTCTAGAGCAGAGGTGGCTAATCTTTTGGGGCTCCTGGGCCAAAAATCGTGTGCGCACTTGCGTGCCAGCACCCAGAAGGCAACGTGCACCCCCCCCACGCCCCCTACGCATGCGCGCGCAATCCCCACCCACCTCCGCCACGCCCTTACCTACAACTGCGCCTCACAGCTGATTTTCAGCGGGTTTGAGGCCTTTTTTCAGCCTCCCAGAGGCTTGCGGAAGGCTTCTGCAGGCTTTGCAGGGCCGAAAACGAGCCCCGTTTGGTCACTTCCGGTATTTACGGAAAAAGAGGGCCTAGTTTTCGGCCTGCAAGAAGCCTTCCTCAAACCTCTGGGAGGCTGAAAAAGGCCTCAAACAGGCCGAAAATCAACTGCAAGGTGTGCGCACATGCGCAGTGAGGTAAGTTTGCCTGCAGCTCACATGCCGGCACAAATGGCTCTGGTTCGCCATCGCGGGTATAGAGTTTCCTGCTTGAGCACGGGGTTGGACTAGAAGACCTCCGAGGTCCCTTCCCACTCCGTTAAACCTGTTACTTTACCAATCTAGCCCCCCCGTCTCTTTCCTTCTAACCTGATAGGGCCAATGCCCTCCCTTGCCTTCCTTCGGGGTTGCATTCTGGCCGCTTTTGGGTTGACTTTCTGCAACCCCTTTGGCTGCCAACCAGGCCATTCATTATTGATCAGGAGCGGAGAAAAGTTGAGCGGCGGCCGGCAGCAAAAATGGTTTATGATGATTAATAAGCAGCCCAGCCCGAACGCTCCAGCCGTTGCCTGCAAGCTAAGCCGATTTCTTGATAAAACAGGTTTTCGGGCCTTACAAGCCCCTCCAATGAAGCCTCTTCTGTCTTCCCAAGCAGAGTGTCAATTATTAAAAGGCACGAGAAATTCTTAACTCGTCGGCGGGGCTGCTAGAGAAATTCTTAACTCGTCGGCGGGGCTGCTAGGCCTTGCAAATATCTCAGCTGAGGAAGATGGAAGATGGGAAAGTTAATAGAGGAGCGGTTGGGCTTTAATCTCCCCGCTTGTGTCTTCCCGCCCGCGATGATTAATTTTATTTTCATCATCAGTGTCTGAAGCAGCAGGAGCAGCAGTTCAATTGTGAATAGGTTTTCTCACCTTCTTGCACTCTTTTGTTTTACTTTGGGGCTATTTAATTCTGGGCCCTGAGTCGTGGTGCGGTGGCCTAGAGGCGAGGGCTCTCGCCTCACAACCAGGAGGCCGTGAGTTCGATCCCAGGTCGAGGCAGATATTTCTCTTCTCTGGAAATATCTGTATGTGGGGGGGGTGAGACTCAGCACTGGTGACAGGAAGGGCATCCGGCCAAACCCTCTGCTAGCTCCATCCGGTTACCCAGGCTCCACCCCACAAGGGATTTACGGGGTCGTTAAATTGAAGGGGATGAATTCTGGGACCCGAGTTAAAAAAAATCTTTTGGGGTTTTTAAAGAAAATAATGGTTTGATCGATTGACGTGCCGTCGAGTTGGTGTGTTGACTCTTAGCAGCAACGCAGATTGGATCTAAGCCGGGATGATCTGTCACGAATGAAGGTGAATAGACGCTTTGTAGGATCGGGTCAACCG